TGTGGGCTGATGTCCCTGTGTTGCTGGCCTCCAGTCAGGTCACAAGGTGGAGGGCTGCATGCCGGCGGGGACGTTTGGGCTCTCAGACAGCTGAGGCATCAGAGCTGAAGGAAATATCTTCCCAGAGATGTTTGGCCATATTTCTAGGGCCAGGTTAAAAGCTTCACACAGAAGCTGAGTTAACACTGGTATGTCTATGAGAGGGTCATGTCCAGAAACAGCTTTCTCCTTCCAACAGAGACTTTGTAGGAAAAAAATCTCCATGCTCATATTTCTCTACCCCAGGAGGCTCTCCTGGAATCTAAGAGGCCATTTAGTGTCAAATTCTGCCCCACCAAGCATCACATAATGGTGATACTGTTAAGGACATCATATATGTGAGGCTGAATTATCCACAATGGCTGGCAATGTCTTCATTCTCCAGAATGAGGCTCCGGCCTCTTTGCTTTGGCAAGAGTTGATCTCAGGACTGCCTGAAACCAGAAACTCCAGGCAAAGCTCTTTGGGCCACTCTTCTGAAAAGGAATCACAATAATAAGATCTGTTATCTTGGTACTCTGTAAAGCCAGGTGTCGGCCTTCACTACAGTGAAAAGTGAGTTTGTCAGAACCAGTGTGATTGTCTGCTGATTAAGCCATCTGCCACCATGGAAATGGACCGAGATTGTCAACTGGTGCACTGGTGCCGACAGTCACATTTTTACATACTGGGCCTTTGGCTGCCATCTCAACTTTGTCTTTCCAGAAGTCAGTTCTTGGGAGGCAGACTCTAGGCACCACATTCTAGAGGGCCTCCATGCACGCTCAGGCTTCTTCTCACAGCAGGCACACCCCGCCTAAGCTGCACTCCATGCACTGAGGGACAGTTGGGGCAGGAGCTCTCACGCAGCCAGGTGTGGGGCTCTGCAAGGAGGTTTGTGTGGGGATGTGAGCAACTGGGTCAGCTCCCTGGTCCAGACTTCTGCATTCAGGATATAGACATAGCTCTGTGTGTATGTTGGGGACTGGAGATGACCACACTACTACATTTTTCTTGAGTGACTTTTAGTAGGAAAAAAAAATGAACCCTTTCTTCAACACTGACATTGTTAAAAACACATAAAATGCACATCACTTCACCAAGCAGCATTCAGGCCTTGACTTCCCTGTGGGAACAAGCTTTTAGCCTATGCCTCATAAATAGGTGGATTGTGATCCACTCTACTCAGAGGGGACACGGGAGTGATGCAGTCTTTACCCCTCAACACCCCAGATGGAAATCTTATGCCGGAGGCTTAATTTAGTGAAGTCAGGGTAGGAGCACTGGGTTCTCTTCAACTAGTGATATCATGAACAATAAGAAGAATTGTGTATATGTAGCAAGTAGGAGAAAATATTGGCCAAGTTTATCTATTCATTCAACAAATACTTACAGTCTACTAACTCTGTGTGGGGCCCTGTTCTAAGTGCTTGGGTATATCTGACCCAACAGAGATCCCTACTCTTACGGACCTGATGTTCAGGAGGGAGGGGGATATGAACCATAAACGACAAACACTAATTAATTACTGATTAAATTATGTGATAAGTGGAAATAGAAGAGCAGAGGAAGGAAGATGAGGGAGTTGCGGGGAGGAGGGAATTAATGTGGATTTGGGAGGCTGCCCAACATGTTTCTGGGTCTGAATTTTTTTTGGTCTATGACACAAACCATATTCTTGATTGCTAACATCCACTGAGGCCCCCTCTGTGCTGGGCACTATGCTGGGTGTTTACTTGGGTATCTCATTTACTCTGCAAGACTGGCCTGGTTCTTCATACCCCTAGGGCAGAATGCAAGACTTTAGTTCTTGGCCTTCTGCATCTTCATGCTTTTTCTTTGGAGCAGAAATTGCTCTGAAAATGCTGGTTTTAACTTAAATCTTACATTGACCAGACGTCTCTTCGAGCCCCAGAGCCTATGGAGTGCTTTTGTTAAAACCCAGAGCCAATGGGCTCAGGCTGTCCTTTGTGCAGCCAGGTACCAGTGGGAGGATTTTCCATGCAATTACTTGGGAATGAAAAAGAAATGAGAGGGAGGCCTGCGGTCTTTGCTACTCTGACTCTACAGGCTGCTGGGATGGACGTTGGATGAAGACACCAGCTTAGGGCATGGCCTGTTGCTATTTATGACTCTATTACTTCACAGTGAGAGCACAGTTCAGGCTGACTGCTGGGTGGCCTCTGTGTTTCTGTCACTTCCTTTTTTCACCTATGTGAGGACTGTAGCATTGGTTGGGACTTCCAAAGTCCTGTTAGCCAGGCTTCTGCCATCAGATGGGCCTGTGGACACATTGCCCCATCAAACGCTGCCTCCTTCCTAAGGCCCTGGGGCATCACAGAAAGATGGGGCTGCCAAGCCACTGCTCTGATAAGGCACACCTTCAACCAGGCTCCATCACTCAGAGCTACGGGAAAATCCCATGGTCATATGCCCTCTGTTGGTGACAGGGAATTCTGTCATGCATTCAGATTTTTGCATGTCTGCTCTGTCCCTGGAACTAGAATAAGAGAATAGGGAGAAAAGCTGATAAGAAGTCAGTGATAACTATAGCCATGGCCATAATTTAGGCTCCAAAAAAAATAATTCTGAGTGGTTACCAGATAGCTTTCAGAGAGGGTTGAAGCCTTCAGTAGACTAATGATTGAGCAGAAAAAATGTTTAGAAAAACTTGAGACAGATTTTATCCATGCAGTAAGTCAGAAGTCAAGTCAGAAGTTCAGATGACATGTACGATTCCTGGAATTTAGTGATTTTTTTTTTCTTTTTGTTTGAATGTGTCACTTCTCTTCTACTTTCTGTTCTGCTCCCACTAGAATGATCTCCTTCCCCCAGGCCCTCGGATCTACCCCACATACCACCACAGGCTCATTCTTTGCCACACCCTGTTTTCTAGCATGGCTGCATGCACAAAACCTCCCTTAGTTCCCACTGCCTGCAGCGCCAAGGTCACAGAGTTTACTGAGCTACCATCAGCAAGACCTTGAACATGCCTCGGCCCTCTCTCCTCTCCCTCTACATTGCTCTCCTTCAGTGGTACAGCTCCTCCCATGGCTGTCTCTAGACCTCGCCTTGACATCTCACCACCCACCTCTGCCTTGTTCCTGCGTGATCCACTCCCCTCTCTCGGCCCTCGTTCCACTCACCTCTCCCTCAACCTCCAGAAGCCCTTTGTGTTTCCTCCACGCCTTAGGCACATGACCCGTGTTTCCTCACAATCGCAGTTACCCTCTCATACTCACATACAAGGACAAGAAACATGTTTCCTATGACTTCACACCCACTCCCTGGCCATGCACACAATGCAGTGTAGAAGTTGGTCCCAAATCTATTACCAGAGGCCTAAGCAGCAGCCTCCTCCTGCTCAAAGAAAAATGTTCTGCCACTGCCAACATTGCACTTCCTCAGCAAGACATCTCAGAAAATGCCCATCAGAGCCTTCCACCTCATTCCAAGCTTGCAAACAAGCTGGTTTTTCATTTGTCTTGTTTGTTTTTAAGCAAGAAGCATCCCTTTAGAGGACGAATTAGGAAAGAAAAAAAAAGTCAAACAAAAACAAAAACAGGAGTGGAGCTGTGCCTCTCTCTTTTGTCCCCTGCCTTGCCCTTCCTCCCTATCCCATCCCCCTCACTTTCTGTGTTGCTTTTCATGCCAGTTGCTAAAGACTGTAATTTTAAAACTGAACTGGCTTTTCCAGAGCCTTGAGGAATGTGCATCTGCACGTGGATTTTTCCACAAAAAAAAATGTCCCTGTTTTTTGGATCTTCTTAGCCAGAAACAATGAGGCCAGGCAATCAGAGTCCACCCGTCTCCCAACTCTTATTCTAATTTGTTTGAGAGGCTCAGAAGGGGCTGAAGGGCATGGTTTGTGTTTTACCCTGTCAGACTCTTGTTTGATGAGGTTTGTGCTCCATTTGTTCGGATGGTTTTTATGGTTTCTTTGTTGTTCGTGGAATGACTTTGAAAGTCATAATTCTGTATCCTCAAGCTCCTCTGCTATTCCTGCTCAGTGTCTCAATGGGACTCCACCACGAGAAAGGGAAGGAAGAAGTTTCCAGCTAGTTAGTTAATTGATTTCTGAGCACGTTTACGGAAGCATGTGGAATCTTTCAAGAAAGAGGTTACGATCACAAAAGTTCAGATTTGAGGAGTATTCTCCAAGACAATTGAGAAGCAAGCCCTTAGTCATGCCCAGGTGGGGAGCAGGTCTCCATCCACTCATTTCCTGATCCAGCCCCTCTCCCAGCCACATTTCTGGCCTCTTCCCTTTCTCTGTGGTCATCAGCCCAGTCCTCTCCACTGCCAATAGAAAAGCCTGAGAGCCCTCAGAGAGCCTGGAATGTGCTCCCACCCCTGTGATGTCATCCCACATCATCCATGTTCTGACATCGGGGACTGGAGTTGGCCCCCAGGAATGTCATGGCCCTGGGCTTTGAGACACTCTTTTTATGGGCCTTTCACCCAGTCCAGACCTTGCCTGCTCTTCAGAGCTGCTTGAAGGATTTTGCCTCAGAACTATGGACATTTAAAAAATGTCTAACCTTGTGTCGGTATATATTTGTAGAAAGCTTCATAAGGTGCTTTTCCATATGTTATCTCATTTGGTCATTTCCACAACCCCATAAGGTAGATAAAACATAAATTTTTATTTCCACATTAAAGAAAATTGAAGCCCAGAGGAGACTTTTGATTCATCCCAGGTTTCACAACAAATAGTGTCAGGGAGAGAAATTGAACCAATCCTCTGACTTCACATTGAGGGTTCTTCCCATTACTTTGGCTCCCAGATCTTCTCAAAGAGTGTTAAGGTTCTTTCCGCCACCCCAACCCCAGGGAGTGAGTACACTTCCAGAATTTAGGGATGCTTTAAAAGCCATTGCTGAATTGAATTTTATTTCTCCTGATCACTATAGATAATGCTCACGCAACTTTTCTGAGAAGCAGGCGATGCTAATATACCCCTATTTGTTATTGTTCGTTAGACCCTTCTTATGACTCAGTCAGAAGAGGAGCATGGGGCAATAACATGAATTCTGGCCTCAACAAAAGTAAGTAAATGTCTTATAATTCTTTGGAGGAAAGCATGTTTCTGAGGACGGGGTTGGAGAACAGGATCATAAGATACAGGAGAGCAGCAAACATTTGTTTCCCTGCTTTTTGAGTAGACATCAAAATTATTTGCCAATTTAGGGCCTTTCCATGATACCCAGTCCTTGAAAGATGGTATGAGATTTTCATTTAGATTTTTGAGTTTTGTTTTATTGCACTCCGTTTTAGAACATTGGAAGTTTGAAGGTTTTCTTGAGACAAGGTTCTATACCAATGAATGGTCACGGTCACTGGCTGTGGCTTCTGTTATTTAAATCAAGGTAATGACTCTCTATAACTTTGCTCCCCTAACTGTTGAGGCTAAGTCATACCAATTTCCCCATCCCCCTTGATACTGGGTAGACTTCAACATATCATCACTTGGTGGAGAAATTGATGTCTCAGACCCCGCCATCTCCTCCACATCTTCCATCCCTGATGAGGAGATGCCGGGGGGTCTGGGACATCAATTTCTCCACCAAGTGGTGAGATGATGGCATGTCGAAGTCTACCCAATATCGCCCATTAAGGGAATAAGGGGCAAGAATGACTCACGAACTCTTGTACCAGAAATCAATCTTGCCATGCCTAGAAAGCAAAATATGAAGCACATGAGCAGGTGGTAAAGGGAATTCTTTCAAGAAAGAGGTTGGGGTTACAAATTAATGCCCAAACAATAACCAAGACCCCTTCCAATTATGTGTATTAATTATTTACTTACTCTGCACATGACATTTGGCAATATAAGATTCACAAAGATGAATCAGACATGCACTGGTCCCATAAGCGGGAGAGAGAAACCACACACACAGAGAACTCCTTTCATCTGGTTGGTATCAAGGAAGGCTTGTGGACCTGGTAGCACTTGAGTTAGCTCTGGAAGGAGAGGCAGGATTTGGACCTGTGGCAATGTGGGCTGGGGAAGACATCAGCTTGGCATGTCTGACAGTCAGAGAGGACCTCAGGTTCCTGGAGTTTAGGATGTGTGAGGCAGAAGAAGTCTGGAAAGGTAAGAAGCAGAATCGTAAATGATGCTATGAAGATAGGCCTTAGTTCTTTAGGCAATGAGGAGTCACTAAGGTTTTGAACAGTGGCGTGCATGGTGGGTTGTGGGGAGAGAGAAGAGTAATGAGGACACCAGTCAGACTAAGCCACAAACCATGCAAGAAGCAACACAGATCTGCAACGCAGAAGTGATCATGGGAATGGAAAGGGTGTGTGAGAGATACCAAGGAGGAAACTCACAAGACAGGGACACCGCTAAGCAGCTGATCTTTGCTCAGATGTCACTTTCTCAGTCAGGACTTCTCTAACTTTCCGATTTGAAAATGAAATCCACGGCCTCAGTACCATCAGTGATGCTCTACTGTTGGCTTACTTTTTAAAAATTTGAAAATGAAAAGGTGACATTTGAGCAAACACAAAATTTTAAGAATTCTAAAATGTGTTTGTTGTTGTCTCTCCCATTGGATTGCAAGTTTTACCAGGAATGGCTTGTTCATTCCTGAATCTCCAGCATGGAGAACAAGGCCAGCACGTAGCAGATTCTAGGTAAATGTTTCTAAAACAAGATGAATAAATGAGTCAGTGGAGAGTGGGTGAAGGAATGAGTGAGAAAGCATATCTGTCAAGACGTCTCGCTCCCTTCGGGGAGCCAGGTCCTACTCATTGCATTTCTTTCCCTCTTGCCACAGGTCCTCCCCTTGGAGGGGCACAAACGATCAGTAAGAATACAGAGCAACGGCCCCAGCCAGGTACCTGCCCGGGATATGTAATCTCTCCTTTGCTTCCTGCACAGTTGTTGATTCCACATGTTCAACTGATGGAGGCTTTAAACAATATACTACATATGTTCTCTCTTATTTCTCTCAAAGAGGGTCTATCTTTGACCCTAATAGGCCTGTGAATGAAGTAACAGGTACTGAAATCAAGTGGAGACTTGTTAAATATCAAAGGTGAAAGGAACTTGAAGATGAACTGTTCCAATGCTTTATTTTGTTAAATAAAAAAACTGAGGCCCGGCGAGGTGAAGTGACTCGCTAAAAACCATACAACTGGTTAATGAAAGAAATAGAGCTATAATCCCAGACCCCCAAATTCCTGTCCAAGCCTTTTATACTTCACCAAACCTTACTTTCAGAAATATCCCCACCCTGTGATGGGTCGGCTTAACAATTAAGGCAGAGGAACTTTTAAAGCCGTGGACTTGGAGACTCCGTATTGGAGAGGAACTTGGAGATTTCTGGGTCTGTCATACCCTCACCTCTACCTTACTTGTGCTTATAGTAAACCAGGGCATTGACTCTCTAGCTGGGCCCGGTTCCACTATCTGACCCAAAGTCCGCCTCCTGGAATTTCCGCTCAAGCTTTGCCTTCTGGGGAAGCCTTCCTCCTGCTTTCTCCGAAACCCTTTGCGTATCTGAAAACAGCTGCTGTGCCCAAGCCCCAGCTCCTCTCTCTGTCTTCTTATGTGATGCAGCCGAGATAAAGTTCTGAACAAGTCATTTGCTTTGGGGCAGGCAAACATTATTCTGCATCTCCACAGAAGGCAGAGCAAGAGAAAATCAACTGACATTTCACCTGGAAGGTTAAGAAAAAATTTGCTGACTGTGGATCACAAGTCAGATGTAGAGAGTTTTAAAGACTGTCCAATAACAACAAAATTATGCATTAGGTATCACCTGCCAAAAATACTTTAGTTATCATATCAATGGTGTGGATGAGAAAGGATGATCTCAATGGGCTTAAGGACTCTTAAAGTTAATTTATGCTTCTAAGTAGAAACCCAGAAATCATATTGGTATTTTTAAAATTGTAATTATAGTTGAAAAAGTAGCAAAATTGCACAAAATACGTGACAATTGTGCCAAGTCGAGACCCAGCTCTCTACCATGATTTCCTCAACTAACAAAAAAGGAGATAAACCTCTCACCTAAACCAATATTGCAAAGACTTTTCCATGGCTAAATGAACACATATGTTTTGAGTAAAGTGAGATTTTTAAGAATAGTCATTCTATAGCTAAAATACAAACTCTGGTTTGTGCTGACATTTCTAAGTTTCAAATCACAGAGTGTTTTCCTAGAAGAAAACTGAGGAATCCAGTAGCCCAACCTACTCATTTGACAGATGAGAAAACTGATTCCCAGAAATTGTCCAACAAGTTATTTGTTTATCACATAACTGCTGCTAAAACCCAGGCTGCTTGGTTTCTAGGCATGTGTTTTTCATGCTACATTTTAAAAAACAGATTAATAAGGTTGTTAGTATTAGGTAGAGCTATTAAAGACCAGTAACCCTGAGACCTTCTTTAAGCTCATGGAGTCAGCTGTCCGTTGTATCATTGAATATTAGCCAGTTCCTTTCCAAATGTTTTCATTGTTTTGCCTTGGGTAATGACAACATAATCTGCACATTTTAGATGCCAAATAAGAAAAAGTAATCCTGTTCCTATTCTTTGTTGTTTCTGTCATTATTGAGATGAAGACCACAAATGTCATCAAGATCTTTGAGATCTGCAAATAAAAGCAGTAAAGTTTTCTGAAATCAGTCTTTCCCGTGATCTTGAAATAAAAGTATAAACCCTTATGGTTTTCTTATGGCGGTTGTCATATTTTTAATAACACTGAAGCAAATTTCCTTTTTTATTTCCTTAGATCCATATCAGATCCTGGGCCCGACCAGCAGTCGCCTAGCCAACCCTGGTGAGTTTACCTTGGCCTGCGAGCCTTTTTTTGGCCAGAATGTTTTGTAGCTTTGTGAAATCACAGAGGCTTCTGTCCAGACACCTGAGTGGGGAGTAACGTGCACCTCTTTCCTTGAAATGTTCAGTGTCTGTTTCTGGAGCATGTGAACAAGAGGTCAGGGCTTGTGATGAGGTGTCAAGGTTCATCAGCTGAGGATGCTTCTGGGAATAAACACTTTAGCACTGCATATGTGCACTTAGGTGTAGATAAGTAATGAGCGGCACAGGTAGGCATTTTAACTGGAGAAAATGGGCAAGAAAGAAAAAGAAGACAACTCCACTCAGCTCTCTGTTGTCTCCCGCATGCAAGGCACAAATAAGTAAATATTCCAAAGTGCTTTATTTGTGATTTTAGAAAGTGTTGCCGAGTTATCTGGCCTTATAAAAGAGATGTGTCCTGGAAAAGTTGCAGATATAGTCAATTTGACCTTGTATTTTAAAGATTTAGTATCAAAAATAACTCTCAAGAGGATCCTTCTAAACCAAGTCCATCGAGATTGGCAGCTAGCAGGCTCTTGCAGTAGTGTGGTCCACTCACCTTCCCATCCCAGGGACTCTCCCTACCCATTCCTTCATGCCTGGGCATTCCTGCCAGAGGACAAAGAAGCCACCCAGCATATTCTGGGTATTTTTCTCTCTGCACAAGTTCTCTGTAGAACTTAGAGCTGCAAGCCAAGCTGTAGGACCTGCCAGGGGCCAAAAGCTAAAGCTCGTGAGGCAGCTTCTCCCAATGACTCCCACAGTCATGCCTTGCCCCTGACTCTTTACTGCAGACAGGGAATTCCCTGGGGGACCTGACCACTAATTAGAGATCAGACAGTGATTCAGGCCTTTCTAGATGAGGAGATTCAAAAGCCTTACCAAAGGGGTTGAGGGAGGACGTCGCTCGCCTAAGATCACACAGCTAGTTCTGGGCAGAGTTTGCACCTCACTTCCCACATTCCATTTACCAGGCCTTGGGGCAAAGCATCTTAGGATCTAACCTCGCTTATTATACCCATCCCCAAGGCAAGCAGAAAGGCAAATCAACAGTGAGAAGAAGGGCTTGTCAGGTCCATCCCGATGTCAAAGGAAACAAAAGATTTCTTTAAAAGGATGAGAAGCTCCCTGCATTTAGGGAACTGGGTTCTGCCTTCTCTGGACTGAGGTGTTCTGTTCTCTCCCGTTTGCCTCACGGCCTGCAGGAAGTGGGCAGATCCAGCTGTGGCAATTCCTCCTGGAGCTGCTCTCCGACAGTGCCAACGCCAGCTGTATCACCTGGGAGGGGACCAACGGGGAGTTCAAAATGACGGACCCCGATGAGGTGGCCAGGCGCTGGGGCGAGCGGAAAAGCAAGCCCAACATGAATTACGACAAGCTGAGCCGGGCCCTCCGATATTATTATGATAAAAACATTATGACCAAAGTGCACGGCAAAAGATATGCCTACAAATTTGACTTCCACGGCATTGCCCAGGCTCTGCAGCCACATCCAACCGAGTCGTCCATGTACAAGTACCCTTCTGACATCTCCTACATGCCTTCCTACCATGCCCACCAGCAGAAGGTGAACTTTGTCCCTCCCCATCCATCCTCCATGCCTGTCACTTCCTCCAGCTTCTTTGGAGCCGCATCACAATACTGGACCTCCCCCACGGGGGGAATCTACCCCAACCCCAACGTCCCCCGCCATCCTAACACCCATGTGCCTTCACACTTAGGCAGCTACTACTAGAAGCTTACTCATCGGTGGCCTTCTAGCTGAAGCCCATCCTGCACACTTACTGGATGCTTTGGACTCTACAGGACATATGTGGCCTTGAAGAGAAGACAAAACTGGATGTTCTTTCTTGTTGGATAGAACCTTTGTATTTGTTCCTTAAAAACATTTTTTTTAATGTTGGTAACTTTTGCTTCCTCTACCTGAACAAAGAGATGGATAATTCCATGGGCCAGTATGCCAGTTTGAATTCTCAGTCTCCTAGCATCTTGTGAGTTGCTTATTAAAATTACTGGAATGGTTATGTCATGGTTCTGAGAAAGAAGCTGTACATTTTCTTTATGTTTTTATGACCAAAGCAGTTTCTTATCAATACACGGGTCTCATTAGGGGTTCAGTACGCCACAGAATCATGGACTTAACCAGTCATGTTCTGGTTTGAGATTTAGTGAAAATAGAGGTGGGAAGCTTATAATCTAATTTTAGGAGGACCGAATTCAGTGGATGGCAACTGGAACATTGATTGTAAGGCCAGTGAAGTTTTCACCCAACTGGAATTTGATGGAAAGAAGGTGTGTGTGTTTAAGACGTCAAGGGCATTGCAGAATCCCCCTCAGTGGACAGTATGCACTCAACTGACCACTCTTTCTAGAAATAGTCAAGATACGAACTAAGAAATTTTAATGCAAATACATACATTCCTGAAAGATGGGGAATTAAATAACTATTTTTTTTTAAATGATGACAGTGGGTCCCAGAACTTGGAAAAGTTGTAGGGATTTCTAAACTCAAACAGATTCGCAAGCGCTGTGCGCTTGTCAGACCATCCGACCAGGGTCAACCAATCAGAAGGCAACTTACTGTATAAATTATGCAGAGTTATTTTCCTATATCTCACAGTATTAAAAATAAATAATTAAAAATTAAGAATAAATAAACGAGTTGACCTCGGTCACAAAAGCAGTTTTACTATCGAATCAGTCGCTGTTATTTTTTTTAAATGTAATTTGTACATCTTTTATCAATCTGTACATTTGGGCTGTTTGTACGTTTTTATAGCTGGTTTTTAAAAAGCATAATATGACTATTGCTGAAAAGGAAACAGGGCTGTTTAAGTCACTGACTTATGAGAAAGCAAAGCACTGGTACAGTTATTTAACAGGCATACACAAGCAAGGAAAGATAATCCATTTAGATCTTTAATGCTTTGGAAATGTGTGTAACAGTACTGCAATAATCACAGCTCTGGGAAAAACAACAAAACTTTCCCTTGTGCAGAGGAGGGATTTTCCTGCTCTATATATGCAACATATTTTTAGACATTAAAATATATATAATTTTGCAGGTAATTGTTGACTTTTTTAACTATATGAAGTGTTAAGCTGACAACTGTCAATGAAGACCATGTTGTAAAATAATTTGACTAAATAAATGGTTCCTTCTCTCAGCGCTGAGGACAGTTTTCTTATTTACCGCCCCCGTGAGGTCAAAGGGTTTTTTTCTGGGGAACTTTCGTATTTACTTCCTGCACTATCAAGAATTTTTCAAATGTACATAGTGCAGTGCAGCAGAAGGTATAAAATCAATGTGGTTTTTCATTGTTGTTGGTGATGTTTGCAGTATTTTTTCTTGTGTGTTATTTAAATCTTCCTCTAGCCTAAAAGAGTTTTATAAAATGGCGGCCAAGGCCATGGATAACCTGTACGTAAGGAACAGAGCAAAGCGAGCTGGTCTATCCAGACTTGTCGGTGAGATTTAACTCTGCAGCCTCCCCGGGGCACTTCAGACCCAGGTGGCCGCCACCTGCTACTCCCGCAGAGAATGAGCGCCCTGCTTCCCTCAGGTCTCCGACCAGGATTTTATGGCTCATGCAGATTTTTAAGGTCATTTTTCTTCCCAAGGAAGAAACTTGCCTCCCGTTGCTTCACTGTTAGGTAGCTTGTTTTCATTTTCTCTATTTTACAATGAAAAGAGCGAGACCTGGGAAGTCCTTGATTTGCAAGGAATTCAACTCATAGCACTGGTAATCCTAGAACCTTCTTTGGGTAACACTGAGTACCTTCAAGACAATGTGTCTACCTAAATGAAATGGGATTTGTTTCAGAACAATGGTCTCCAATTTTTTTTTTTTTTAATCTTGCACCCTGCCATTTAAAAAGTTGTGTAAAGCACATATTCTCAACATATGCACATTGATTTATAAATCATATATACAAACTGTTACATTATTCTTCATATTAGAAAACAAATACAAAGTAGAACATATTAAATGGTGTTATAAAAATAAATTGAAACTAAAATTCTACTGTTTTCTTCCTATTTTCTCTACACTGAATATCCTCTGCTGTTAACTCTCAAAACAAAGAAGTTAGTCTTTAGTGAAAAAAGTGTGTGTGCATGTACTGGGTTTCTAGCGACTTCTAAGAAAGGAGAAAATTAAAACTTGGTATTAGTGGCCCAAGCATAGAAAGAGGAATGATGAAGTCCAGGTATGTTTAAGAACCATCTAGCTGAATTCTTTTGCAGATCTCCATCTCAGCCACGCAATTTTCCCATCAATTTTGAAATCTGCAAAGTATTCATTAGGGAAAATGGAGGCATATATTTCTGAGTGCTGTAAGAAGATGCTCAGCCCATTAGTTCATCCTTTTAAAGGTTTTCTTTATGTGTCCTACTCAAACACTGGCTCAGGCTCATCTACTCTACAGAGTCATAGAGCTTTAGCCAAATCTCGCCCCCTGAATATGTTCCACAGTGATTTGTCCTACGGCTCAGAAGCTGGCCCACTCGCTGACAGGACTGAAGCACCATTTTCTCCTCATAAGCATTTGTACAGAGGGAGGACTGGCATTTAGTCTCCTGCAATGCCCAGATTGAACGTTTGCTAGCTGGCTCCAGGGCATGCAGCTGACTGGTCACAGAGGACAAACAGAATCTTTGCTCTCCTGGCTGCTAGTCCAGTCTTTTCCCTACTGGATCATTCTGTGCCTGTGCCATGAGGTTTCTGCCATCTAACAAACAGTGCCAGCCAAGCAAAGCGGGCATGAAGGCTTGCAAGCTGTTCTCATGGAAGCTATTCCTCCCCACAGTTTGGGACACTGGCCAACAGTCCTTTAGCGGGAGGTCGTCTTAGTCCATTTTGTCTGTTATAACAAACTACCATAGACTGGGTGGCTCATAAAAATAGAACCTTATTTCTCACAGTTCTGGAGGCTGCGAAGTCCAAGATGAAGTTACCAGCAGATTCAGTGTCTGGTGAGGGCCCTTGCCTTGGTTTATAGAGGAAACCTTCTCACTGTGTGCTGACATGGGGGAAGGGGCAAGGGAGTGCTCTGGGGTCTCTTTCATAAGGGAATTAATCCCACTCTTAAGGGCTCCACCACCATGCCCTCATCACCTCCAAATACCTTCACATTGGGGATTAGGTTTCAGCATATGAATTTGGGAGAAGGGACAGACACAGTCAGTCTATAGCAGAGGTCATCTTTTTTCAGTGTCAAAAAATGTTGTTGAGTCCCACACAAAGAAAGTTCTATTTATTTTATTTTATTTTATTTTATTTTATTTTCTATTTGTGGAGATAGGGTCTCTCTATGTTGCCCAGGCAGGTCTCAAACTCCTGGCTTCAAGCAATCCTTCCACCTCAACCTCCCAAAGTGTTGGGGTTACTGGCATGAGCCACCACGCTGGGCCTATTTTCAGTATCTGTTATTTTAATAGTCAACAGCCACTAGAAAATGTAATAACACTTAAAAAGATTGTTATTTTACTTAACCAATAATATCTGCATGCAAGTGAGTGATGAACATACACAATGGGAAGTGGATTAAGAGGTTCTCAGATAAGGTTTGCTAGTTTAGACCAAATGAGATCAGGAGGTTCTATAACACAAGGGAGGAAAGGAGCCTCTGTCCACCCCAAGCCAAGGCACTGCCAACCCAAGGCAATGCTTAGTGGAGAAATAAAAAACAGAACAAAATGCAGTACTTTCTGTGAGAAGTGGTTTCTGTGGACTTGGTTTCTTACCGTATTTCCTCCAATATCTGTTAATTAACAAGCATCACGTAAACCTGTTGCCTTACAAACTCTTGAAAAGGTGTCCTTTTGGGGAATGTGCTTGGGGAAAGCAACCCTTAAGCATGGCTCTCTGCTGCCCAGCCCTGCTCCCTCGCTCAGAAATTCCTCCACCATCAACAGTACCGCTGGGCTTGTGTCCAGAAGGCCCTCAGGAGGTCGAGGTAAGAGGATGCTTTGTATCAATGGGGGCAGGGATGGGAGAGGTAATAAGAACCGGGATGGGGGCCAGGGGACTGGCTGGGTTCTGGTGAGCATACAGAAGCTTTGCTCTTATCCGCGAAGGAATGCAGGTTTTGCAGAAAGCGCATTGGGCATTTCATCACATAGAAAGCTACTGAAACTGACACTACATGCCTTCAGCTAGGGAGTCCGGCTAAGGGATTATGAAAGGCCAGCTGATTCCAAAACTACAAATCCCAGGCTCCCTCGGGGGATGGACACTTGTGAGAGGAAGTGGGTTAGCCAGTCAAACCTCAGGGTTTCAGCCAGTTGAGAAAGGATAGGGAGGGAAGCTTTAAAAGGAATGTGGGCCCACAAGCCTGGGGTCTGTCTCTCTCTCTCAGTCTGATGTGGCCTCCTGTCTAATTGTTTCCGTCTGTCCGAGCTGGTAAATCCCTAAGCACATAGTCAATTTACACTCAGCTTAAAAGCTCTAGAGGGAGACAGGAAAAATTTCCAGTGAGACCACTCACTCACCTACAACTACTAGATTAACCTTCTGCATTTTAGCTGAGTTAACTCATGTGTTTTCTTAGTGGGAGGAAAGAGGCAATTTGAGTAGACAAATGAAAATGAATATAATGCCAGAAACTCTGGGTTAAATGCTGGCCCTTCCACCTCCTGGGTAACTTGTCTTCATCGATTAAGTAGGACCTGAGTTATATCTCCTGCATGAGTTTCTATGAGACATTGGACGACAATGTGGAAGACCCATTGCAGACTGCTGTACAGGAGGTTTATGGATAATCATCATTATCTGTTAGTATTGGCTAGTATTTTTCAAGAACATTCATTAAGTTCTGCGTAACTGGTGGGCACCCTGTTTGGGGAGTTCAGTACAGTGTCATTTTTGTTTTGTGGTCAGAAAGACATTTTCCAAATGGGTGCAAAGTAGGAATAAGTTGGGTTTTCCAGAGAACCTTTGCGTTTTCCCCATCCACAGCCCTCCCAGTGCCCTACTTGGGATTTTGCCCTTCCTTGGCTCTATGTGTGCACCTAAAGCCAGCGGAGCATGTGGCCAAGCTGCAGGATGTTGCAAATAAATTGAGATTGTTATAAAGGAATGCTAAAAATGTGCTTTGACAGAAATGTTGGATGGGATTTTTCAATCGGCTAAGAAATAAAGGTTGGGAGCTGGGATTTTATTCCTTGCAAGCTTGGATTCAGACTCTTCGCAGACCTAAAGCCACCTGTTAGCTCCATGAGAAAAGGAACTGTCTGTCCTATTTGCCGCAGTGACAGCAGTACACCGTAATTGGTCAGTAAATATATGATAAGTGAGTACACGAAGAACAGGCCCAGAGTCCAGAAAACCTGGTTATGAAGCCCAGCATGTCCACTGCCTATATTATAATTTACTGTTTTGGAGCTTGGTTTTTCCCATCTATAAAATGAGGATGATTATAATAACTATACAACGGTATCACCGGAGTTAAGATAATGTACATAAAAATGCTCTGTATGTTGAAAAGAACTAGAAAACTGCAAGATTTCCTAGGTATTATTGTCAAGGTCTTACTGTCTTCATTGAGGGGCAACTCCTCTTTACATTCAAAATTCTGTACAGGTCTCTGTTCCTCTCTGATCAAAGATAGAGTGAAACCTCACTATTCTATTCTATTCTGTATTGTGAATATACAGAATAGAATTGTGATTTTTTTTAACTGTAAAATCTTGAAACACTCACAAACTTCCAGAAAAGTTAGAACAGTACGACGAACAGTTTTTAGTGAATCATTTAAGAGAAAGTTGCCAACCATGCTCCATTAACCCCAAACACTTAAGGGCATATTTCATTTAAACAAAAAAACCTTTTCCTACATAGTCCGGTATAATCAAGAGAATCGAATAACTAATGCAGGCGGATTACTCCTATGTAATCCCGAGGCACCATGCACTGTTGCCTGATTGTCGCCACTGCTGTCTTTTGGAGGAAAAGGTTCCCATTCTGAATCGCTGATTGTGTATGCTGTCATCTACCATTAGTCTGGAACATTCCCTCGGTCTTTCAGGTCTGTGACAATTTTGAATATGACAGGTCAGGTATTCTGTAGAATGTTCCCCAATTTGGGATTGCTGGTATATCGTTGTGATTAGATTGAGCCGAGGCTTCTCTGAGAGGACCGTCGCAGGAGTCACGCTGCCTTCTCCTGGCATTGCATTGGGTGGTACATCATTTCAATGTATCCCATTATCGACGAAGTTCACTCTTTGTTTAAGACGGTGTCTCCCAGGCTTCTCCTTTGAAAAGTTATTCCTTTACTCTTTGTAATCAATA